TATTCATAATATATTTTGTAAAAGTGAAATTCGTTTAATATAAAAATCAACAACAAGTCCACTTTTATTGGTTCTATTTAATCTTGCAATGAGTTTACTTGTGTGGCCCCCTGCAGATCAGATTAAGCTGTATGCGGCCCCTAAACCAAAATGAGTTTGACACCCCTGAACTACATGGAGTCTCTAACCTAGGCCAAACGTAATATCAATTAGTTAAATATAATCAAAACTAGCATAACATTAATTAGAAAATGTTTAGAATGAATGGGTTTATATTGAAAATGCTCAGGTATATTCTATAAGTGTTTTATTCTTAAAATCTGCACTTTGATCTAAGAGATGCAGAAGTTCTGAACCACTTTTGAATAAAAGTAAGGGTCCCAGAGGAACGAATCAGATTTGCTATTTGCAGCAATCTCCAAAAAACGCGTTTTTTGCCTTTCCTGTTTTTCTTTCTTCTTCTTTTCTACTTGTCTCAGGTAAATAAATGTCTATTTTAGTATGTTTGAAGTGTCTGTGTTGATGTGATTTTATACTTTTAAATGTTGGAATAAATTCTGAAAATGCATGACGCGGAGCTCTGATTATTAACTCGTGTGGCTTTGGTTTCCACGCATGGCATCATTGAATCCAGGAGCACAAGAGAATACAACGAACCAGAAGTTAATAATTTTATTCTCTTACAGATTGCAACAATATCAATCATAACTCTTCTTGTTCTGGTGAACTGCTAGGTAACGACTCCCCTCTGCCACTCCCTTTTTGCTGCACCTTTCTGCAGCTCCTCTGCCTGTTAGTCAGGAGAACCTGGTGGACTCAATCTTCTAGCAATCAGAGTGCAGCTACTTTTGGTGTGACTGACCTGTCACTCCTGTTTGAGAGCATGAGAAGCAAACAGTGCTGGTAGCATGTAAATTCAGAACTGTGTAAAAGTTTCTACAAACTGTGAAAGACAGCCGGTAAGCTTCACAAAGCTGTTGCTCATTGCTGAATTTCATTGGAGCAGCAAATGAACTCTGATTGATTGTTGTATCAAATTGTTTAATCTTATTGAAGTTAAGCTAGTAAGTTAAAAACAAAAAAAGAAAAAATACACTTGGTGTTTATTGGTTCAAGTAGAAAGAAAAAAATGTTGGTCAGAATGTTTGTGAAAATATTTAACAAAATGTTGATAAAAATGCTAATTTATTGCTGTTGAATTTTACTATAAAATATTTATTATACTTTTAAAATAACTGGTTTAAAGGGGTAGAAATCTGATTTTCACAATGTATTTATCTTGTTAATTTCAGAATGTAATAGATGTGTGTTTCTTTTGAGGTTTTTCACCTATGGGCTATGCGGACCATCATACAAAAAATAAAGATGAGTCAAATAAATTAAAGGCCCTTTGAGTGAAATCCAGTTCAAACTTCACAGTGGAAACTATCCCTTTCAAGTGGGGAATTGCACAGTAAACCTAACCTGAAAAACTTGACTCTACTTCTCTCCAATGTTTCTGAGTTTCTGGTGGAGCAGCTCTGTGTTGCATTCAGGAGAATAGGACATCAGAGTATCATCCATAAAATTTCACCCACATGGCATTTATTGTGCAAACCAGATCTTTCAGTGGAAAAACAAAAGTTCCAGATTCCTTCAGTGCCATACAAATATTGGGCAGGAATGTGGATTAAATCTTTATATAGACCTGTCTATTAATTTATAGATTAATAGTTTGTTGCTTGCTCCGTCCTATGTCACGGTTCTCCTGTTTCAGAGTTTTCCGCAATGTGCGCGTCGTCTTTTTTTGTTTTACCCCATAAGGCGCGGAGCGGTCGGGAAGCGCGTATTGATGGAGAAAAGCAGACTAACGTAAACCTTTTAGCTCCGGTATTCGGATGATTAAAATTGAAAAGTGCTGTGGTGCTACCAGGGGTGAAAGTAGTTTTAAATTCTTGGGGGTACTATGACAAAAAACAAAACATATATATATATATATATATATATATATATATATATATATATACATAGTGCTTTGGAGTTTCTGTGCTGATGAACTTTTTTGTGAAGTGATAAAAGCTGGTGGCTCTTAAATTGCTACAAAATAAAGCTGTATCC